ACGGGACTACGATACCTAAATTAGTCGGCTACGTCGACGCAGATCACGCCGGCGATCCCGACAACAGACGCTCACGCACCGGCTACATCTATCGCCTCGAACCTATCGGACCTATTTCCTGGCAATCGAGCAAGCAGGAACCAATCGCTCTCTCCTCAGCTGAAGCTGAATATATCGCACTCTGCTCAGCCACCAAGGAAGGACTGTACCTTCGCGAACTTCTGGAGGAGGCGAAGCTGGCTCAGTTACCCAGCTTCTCCTTGTTCTGCGACAACCAGTCGGCAATTCGCATAGCCAACAAAAACGGATTCGCGAACAGGACGAAGCATATCGCCCTGCGATATTTCTTCGTGAAGGACGAGATCGAGAAGGGGAGACTTGAGCTGTCTTACTGTCCCACATCCGAGATGGCAGCTGATTACTTGACCAAGAAGCTCGGAAAGTCGAAGTCCGAATATTGCATGCTGCTGACTGGACAAAGCCACGTCATCAGCAGCGACACTCCAGAAGCGAAGGGGAGTGTTGGAAACAATTGATTTAAGCGCCTCTGTCGTGTCGAAACACCAAGTCAGAAACGAAGCGAAACATATCGAAACATCAGCGAGTCAACCCTCGGAGGTTGAACAACTGATGGAGGTTACGCGAAAGTCAAAGGTCAGCGACCTTTGACTTGACAAATACAGCACGACAGCAAGGACAAACAACTGACTCGATACTGAGCAGTTGCCCGAGTCGACACTGTATCGAACCGCAACAGCAACAGTAAAACGGTTATTAACCGTATCTCGTCATATTCCTTGTATCCTTATAAAAGCTTGTATCTCTTTGTTTTAATCAATCAACTTTGCCCTCACATACCAGCGCAAGGTGGTTCACAAACCTTTTTACTTAACGCTTCCGCTATTACATTGTCCTACCCTTTGAATTCTGTCCTGCAAAGATCCTAAGGGCTTTTCTCAGCCCAACAGGGTTTTCGCGATATACACGCACTTGCGTTGCGGATGGGACTTCTTGAGGGGGGAGAGGGGGGGGTAGTGTAAGGATTTTTTCGGCATTCCTTACTGCGTTCTTCATTGCGTACAGCAGCAGCCATTGTTCGTCCGTTACTGCTAACGGGGCTTCGCCAACTTCGCGCACGATGTTTTACCAAACCATGCACTGCTGGCCTGGCCGAGTCGGCCTACGCTGCGGAACTAGCCTGAACCTCGATGCCAGCCTAGCACTAGCTAGCTCGCACGTGCCGCGTTACCGTTTGCATGTTTCGCGTTCTAGTATTTGCTCATGCCTTCGCTCATACTTTGTACTAGTTTGACACCTAGTGAAATCCTTGCTATCTCTTTCCATTGCACCCGTAACACTACCCCTTATTGCAATACTCGTTTGCCCGTTCACATCACACACAACAGAGGCATGTGTGTAGCCGCACCTGCTGTCCTCGAAGGCGAACCCAATTTCCCGCCAACCACGGCAAAGGCGAGGCTGAGCATCAAGCCAGAGAGCTTCGGTTCGGATCGGAGACCCGTTGGGAATGATTTACTCACCCCTGCTGGTTCCATCGTCTGCAGCATCTTGTCCTCCCATGTGCTCAACCTGAACCTAGCACATTTTAGTTCCTGCTGGAAACGTGTCCTGACATCCCACCGCTCTGCTGTCGCTTAGCAGATCAAACACCTTGCGTGCACGCCGTGGTTTCTAAAGTGCACGCCGTGGCTGACTAGTCCGCATGTCACCTTTTAGATCTGTCGTTCACAAAGGCTAGCTGTGCACGCGGTCAAGAGCGAGCCAACAATATCCGTAGAAGGTTTTTGTGCCGAGTTTAGTGAAGAACTGCGTCTGGTGAGTGCTGCTCGTATCTTTTTTTTTTTTTCTCTTGGTGAAAGTTTGCTATGTAGAAGCAATGTCAATTTTTTTGATAAGTCTGCTGAGGTGTGTCCTGATTACCTTAGTGTCCTGGTATCTGCACTGAAGTAGCCTTGTTTTTTACGCGAACCTGCCTGTTTCCATTTTGAGAATCATTCGTGCGAGAGGAGGAGGTGCTGTTGAATTATTCTCCACTTCCCTCTCGTTACGTTTTCATTATCGCACACACTCACGCCACCACCCTCTTCCCTCCCTCCTTCCCTCCCCACTCTTTCAGAAATGTCCGCACACTTGTCACTACCATTCCATCCTTCCCTCACTCCCCCGATAATTTTTTTCACCGTTTCTCCTCTATCATGGATGCCTTATATGCTTATCTTCCTGTTCGTCATATTGACTCAGCTGTCGATATACCTTATCGCAATAATGTTCCTCATTATTGTTCCCTTCCCCTGACGTTCGTCCCTTCATGGTCCCACTACAACTCCAGCCGTTGCCGTAGCCAGCGGACACGATTGAGCAGCCCACATGGAGGGCGTGAAAAAGTTCACTGGCAGGGAGTTAGAGCAAGCAACCAACAAGTTCCACCGTGAAAACTCTCTCGGTAGAGGCGGCTTCGGTACAGGCTACAAGGGTCAAATCGACGGCCGACCGGTCCTTGTAATGAAGCTCAATCCGGACACCAGTCGACAGGCAGGCGAGCGTTTTCTCCGCGAAGTGACAGTTCTCACACGCGCAGACCACCGCCACATTGTGCAGCTCATAGGTTACAATGCCGAGTCGCGCTGTATCGTATACGAGGCACTCCCTGGCGGCAATCTCGAGGACAGGTTGGCGACTGAGGCTGGGCGCAAGTCCCTGAGGCAAAAAGACCGCCTGCGCATCGCAGCTGAGGTGGCGGAGGCCCTAGTGTTCCTGCACCGCCTGGACTACCCCATCCTGCACCAGGACGTGAAGCCCGCCAATGTCATGCTGGACGACGATCTCATCAGCAAACTCGGAGGAGTGGGTCTGGCGAAGTTCCTACCAGTCAATGACTCGTCAATCTGGGGCACTGTGGGGTATATTGACCCGCTGCTACTGCGGACTGGCAAGTACGGCCCTCAGTCAGATGTCTATGGGCTCGGGTTGGTGGTGCTGCAGTTGTTGACGGGAGAGAAGGTGAACAAGGTGCTGGAATACGCCAAGTTCGGGCTTGAGGGAGTGCTGGAGCACCTTGACAAGGAAGTCACGTGGAACGATAAGATCGTTCGTGATGTTGCTGAGCTGGCGCTGAGGTGCCGTGACAAGGCGAACCGGCCTGACCTGGAGTCGGTGGTGCTGCCAGCACTGCAGATCCTGGCCAAGGACACGGCCCTGGATCTGGATCAAGATGGGGCGCCGCCTCCCCAGCAAGCAGCAGGAGGCTCGGGTGCAAGGGGGGGAGGTGGGAGAGGAGGACATGCGGGAGGGAGAGGGGCAGGGCGTGGGGCAGGGGAGGATGCACACAAGGCGGCACAGGCAAGCGCGGCAAAGAAGTCAACATCCATGTTCAGCTTTTTATGGGGCGGTGGTCGCAAGTGATATGGGGTGTACTTCAGTGCCGCTCTTGTGTGACTCTCAACGGAGTAGGGTTGATAGCAGAGATGGTAGTTTGGCAGAAGCTGGACCGTTTTGTTGCCAGCAGTAACTGCGTAATGGGGACGTTCCATGTGGCAAGCGGAATAAGTGTTTGCTGCTGGGTATGGATCGGTTGTTGGCATGTTGAGCGTGGAGCCAGGCACATGGAACATTACCTTTGTTTGAGCGCCTCAGGTGATTACTCTGGTCGCGGTTGGGGAGGAAAGCAGGTTGTGACAAAATAGGAAGGGCAAGTATAGATTAGTAGTTGCGGTACCATTCAGTGTGGATGAAGTTACCGTCATCGCCCGGATATAAGACAGTGTTGAATAGTAGACAGGGGTTGTCTACTATACGGGTGTCTCTTATAAACAGGCTAGCCTTTTTATACGACACCTATTTGTGTGTACGAGATAAGACATATGTGTCTTATAATCGAAACTGCAATGCATTATAGTGAGAATTGAAATACCGCGTACATTTTTACCCTTGCGACACGCGAATTCTGCCACGTGCTGACTCACGTACTACCAAATTTGCCTCTGCAAGTATTCGGGATGACGTGGCGTCCCGAACAATGGTTGCCGAAGTGGCACCTTCGCAACTTCCACACTCTTAATGAGAAACTCTTTTCAAGATGCGTGAAAATATTTCTAAGTAGTTTAAAAAACTTTCCATTTATAAGACTTATAAGACACCCAAAACCTCCCCAAATACAAGATAACCCAAGCATTTTTTTTAGTGTATGAGATAAGACATATACCGTATGTCTTATATCCGGGCGATGACGGTACAAAAAGCTTTTATTTCAACATACGCAATGGAAATATGAACTGTAGTTGAAAATGTGAAGTTACAAGTCAAATTCGTGTGCCCTTCCGCCATCAACTGGCGGAACGACGTGATTCGCATCTCGAAAGCAGACAGACTCGTCTCGTTCGATGAATGCTGCGAGGAGTGACGAATGCAAAGCGCCAGACTCTTGAATATAAAGCCGCTCATAGTGGATTGAGAAGGCCACTTCTTTGCAGTTACAGATCGGAACCCCGAACATGGCGGACAGAGACGATAACGCAGCCGGCCAGGCACTTCACATTGACCGAACGGAAATGCTCAAGGTCATCGAACAGATGATCAGCTACTCGACGGAGTGCTCGGCTGACGCTGTATTATGCTCGCGCGCTTGCCAGGAGATCTGTGATGCACTGAAAGAAGTACAGCCCCTTTTCTTGGTTCTCAAGCACACGAACCTAACAGAAGCACAGGCTAACAGCTTGGTGGAATCTCTTTCTGAAATGGCTTGCTCACTGGCGGATGTGACTGTCTGCGTGGATTTGTGCCGCGATAGGCTATGGAAGTTTCACTTACTTCAGCACTCAGATTGCTTCACCTCACGGCTTCAAGACGCAACAAAGAAAACGGGGGATGCATTATTTGAGTTTGCCAGCACAAGGATCAAGGTGACCTGAACGTTTAGCATGCATCCGCGAGGGCATGATAGAAGCACTATCGAACACTAACATGCGTCATGCGATTTACAGATGGAGCCGGGTTTTCCGGTGCACTTATTTTCGGACATTCTCACAGCAGCGTCTAAAGCAGCTACGAAACTCAAGAACGTCGACGTGAACCTTGATCTGGTTGATGCTCGTTTGAAGGAAATGGTCAATACTGGATGTGAAGAACTCGTGAATGGTGCATCAGACCACGCCTTGGACATAATACTTCAAGGACGGCATGGTTACTGGCGAAGTGTGCAGAGCATGAGCCAGCTCTCGCTTAATGATTCAAGTAATGACCAGCGAACATCTCGTGATCCGGAAGGAACATCGTCTGGCAGGTGAGAAGGGTTGTTTTACAGACATTCTGGCCATCTTGGTTGAGCTAACCATTACAATAACGCAGACCGGCTAACGACGGAGAGATGCGCCTAGTGGCAGCAAGATCAATGCTTGAATCGATACGGACGACGCAAGACCATGGCAACAGATTCGCTCCATCCATTCTCAGCCCTCGCTCATTTGCAGAAGTAGCATCGCCTACTGGAACGGCTGAACCCAGCGCATTGGCACAGGCATCTGGTAAGTTTCGGATCCCGCTAAATCATGCTGGAAAACAAGGGTAAAACCCTGACAAACTGTTTTGCTCAGATTCCACCAACAATAGTTCCAAGGCCCTAGATGAGTCTCAGGCTGAAAGGTCCGGGAAAGACCCCGTTAGTTATGGCACACCAGATCGACCTTTTGGCACAAGAAGGTAAGGCCACTTCAATGCTGTTCCACCTGATTCATGCTGACAAAACTAATTATAATGTTCCTACAGGAGAAGGTCAAGCATGAACGACGAGCCACCTCCTGAATTTCTATGTCCTATCACATGCGAACTGATGGCGGATCCAGTCATGGTTGTCACGGGACAAACTTATGAGAGGAGCTCCATCAGACAGTGGATAAGTGAGGGCCATCGTACATGCCCTATTACGAGTACGTATCAAACACATCCATTAGTTTCCGAGATTCTTCCAATGGAAGTACTTCTGATCATGCTGTCGATCTGCTTGTTATGATGCCAGGGATGCCTCTTGGGAACATTGAGCTGGTGCCTAACTATGCACTGCGAAACGCCATTCGAGCTTGGGCACAAAAGCGGGGCATCGAGTTGAAGGAGCCTGAGTTCTTTCCGCCACCTCGCATAAGCGGAGCTCAATATAAGACAGCTAATAATGCCTCGGCACCATCACAGATCCCTACCTGGGACAATGCTCTGCCAGACAGGAGGAGCCCTCCCATGCTAGCTGTTACGCAGCTGTTCGTTGGTTCAACTGCTGACAAGGTCAATAGTGTTGTGCTGAAAAACTCCTGGTATTAAGTTCCGTTGCTCATTGCTGCCATGTTGATTTTAACGCAGCTGTTGCTCAGCTTGCAACAACTGCAAGTGAAGATGGGGAAAATGGGAGGGTTTCGGTTGTACAGGCTGGTGCAATCCCACCCCTCATCATGGTTCTGCTTGAAGGCTCTGATTTTGCGAAGGAAACGGCAGCAAGATGCATCCGCTTTCTTTCCAGGAGCAACAACCCGATCATTACACAAGGTTCTGCAGCAGCTATCCCAGCTTTGGTCCGACTACTTTCTGTGGTAAGTGTGGGCCTGTTTTGCACTCATGGGCACTAGTTCGTGGCAGTTAACAACCTCCTTTCACTGCAGGGGTCTCAAGCTGCAAAGGAGGCCGCATGTGGCGCGCTTGTCAACCTCTCAGCCAAGACGGATGTCAACAAGTTCCAAATTGCAGTTGCTGGAGGAGTACTTCCACTAGTTTCTCTTCTTGACCAGCCAAATGCCTCAAGGACCTCGTATGAGTGCGCATCAGCAGCACTGTGCAATCTTGCTTTTGACAATGAGAACAGGCTGAAGATTGCTGCAGCCGGTGCCATCCCTTTGCTTGTCCAGGTATGATTAGAGGTTTATGTCGTTGTTTCTGTACAGATTCCACTGAAGCTGTGTTATCGCAGGTTGCTGCAAGATCCCCGACCCCAGAAGCTGGAGAATATGCCACTCACGCCCTTGGAAGCTTGGCCTGTGAAATTAATGAAAATGGGGAGAAAATTGTTCAGGTAATCTGATAGTTTCCACTAGAGCTTTGACCTTCCGTATGATTGGCTTTGCAACTGGCACAACCCTAAACGCTGAACTTCTGTGGCACAGGCCGGAGCTGTGCCAGTGCTGCTTGCAGCACTTCAGAACGGGTCTCCTTGGAGTAAAGAAGCAGCTGCACGGACACTTCGTAACTTATCATTCTTTGAGAACCTGCGAGAACCATTGCTTACAGCTGGAGCGATTGATGTTTTGACCCGAGTGACAGAGTCGGGAACAGCCCGGGCAGCAGAGTCTGCCAGAGCCGCATTGAACCACCTGAGTAGAGCGACAAGGTCCACGCAATCTACCAGTGGCACACAAGAGATGCGCATAACGGCTCCTGCAGGAACAAGGGCAGCAGTACCTCCAGTAACCTCTGTTCCAGCCACAGCGAACTCGGTCAATGCCACTAGCCGGTTGCAAGTTTCAGCACGTTGAGTCGAGGCAAGTCGTCTTTTTGGCAGATCAAATGCTGCAAGAGTGCACCCGGAACCGGAACCTTCTAATGGAGGCACTGGCACATATGGGCAAGGTAGCAGCAGTTCTAGAGGGGCAGCTCGGGTATTGACGAGGCCCGGTGCCAGTAGAGACAGTTCTTCTCGGAGATGATTATTACGGTACTACAGGTCTTCCTCTTGATTCGTAGTGCTGATGTTCCTATTGCCGCTGCACTCTTTCCTAATTTGTGTGGGTGCATTTTATACAGCTTCAGTTATTTTTGTTTATATGTGCCAGTTCGGTGTCGTTGTGTTTCTTACCGGTACTCTATTTGCCTGAACATTGGAGCAACAAAGCGTTTATATGTCAGGGTGTTTCCTGAAAGTTCTAAAATATATGTTTAGTCCATGCGAACTAATTAACTTGGACAAGATCTTCGATCTCTTTCCGTAACAGTCTGACACTCCCAGAATTTGTAGGATGGTCTAAAATTACAATATTGGTACCCTTCTTCTTGATTCCTATAGCCACAACGAAAGACCATCTCAGTAACATACCGACCGGTACATACCATGAACGTACCCTACACTTTTGTGAGGGTAGAAAGCTACTGGAGAATGGAGAATGGAACTACAGGTCTCCAATTTATCCTAGAAACAGGCACGACACACTAGAAAGCCAGAGTCGATTGTGTTCTATTTTGTCAAGAACACTGCTTAAAAAAGGTGGAGCGAGCGTTTCTTGGTATCCTGCTTCCACTTGGGCTGCTTGTAGAAAGCATCCTTATCACATCCGAACACTTGGAGGAAGTCCGCATCAGAAAGATAAGCCTGCCACACAAATCAAAACATTGGGAAAAGAAGTCAGATCAAGAGATTCTGACTGCCCAGGTGAGAGCCATGTCACTTGCTGCCAACAATCACAGAAGCCAATAGACATTTGGGGCAATTTTACGGAACACCTCCACCACTCATCACACCTGCTCATTGCACATCACCCCAGCTCGTTGGGCATCACTCCTGCTCATCACGCACCTCGCGCTTCTTGGTGTCGATGCCAGGAGCAGGGTCCGTGCTGTTGACTGTGAGCCTCTCCAGGGCGTACAGGGCGCCCTCCACTGCTGCCTCAGTGCCTGCCGCATCCGAGGGCTCGTCTCCCTCGGGGATGGGGGCGGGCACAGGGGAGGAGGGCGTGACGGCAGCGGGACTGGCAGCAGGCTGTGGTTCGGGCGTGGAGGATGGTGAGCGAGCCGTGGCTGCGGGCGATTGCACCTTGGGGATGGAATATGCCGCTCCTCCACCACCTGATCACACGCGATTGGCAGGCACATAATAAATGTTGCTGCCTCCCATTTGGTAATCGCCTTGGGCCTATGATTAGCGACCAAGCTTGTTGGACATGTTGTTGAGGAAAAAACAAAGGAGGCGCCAAGTGGTGGGAATAACCCCACAACGACACATTGACATGACCAACTCAGCATATGGAGCAGAAACATTCCAGCATAAGGAGGAAACGACACTCACTCTTCCTTTTCTCCGCAGTGAGAGTGCCCGACAGGGCAGCGATGGCAGCAGCGCGCTGAGACGCAGCAGACATGGGCGCCGCAGGCACTTCCGCAGGAGCAGGCTCGGGCGTAGCCACGGGCGCAGGTGCGGCAGCTGCAGGAGCAGCAGTGGCAGGATCAGGCTTGGTGGGCACCCCCTTGATGGAGCCCTTAAGAGCAGCCATTGCTGCTGCCATCTGAGAGGACGCTGAATCCTTGGCAGCGTGTGCCGCAGCAGCTGCAACAACCTCTGCTGGCGGGGCTGCTGCGGCCGGCTCTGCATCTGCTGGTGCCGCAGCGGCACCGCCAGCAGCAGCGCCGACAGCAGCGGGGTGGGATGATGCAAGGCCAAGTGTTGCCAACTTGCGCTTGGCCGCCTGAAAGATGTATAATAAGGTGAGCAGAAGGTAGAAATCGGTGGAGAAAGATGGGGATGGGCTCTACAGAACAGGGGCGCATGTAGTGGGATATGAGGGACATCGATTGAAATGGCAATATCAGAGCTTCCACGAGCATTCCATTCCACTCAATACAGGTGTCATACCGATGGGGAGTGGCCACAGTAGTCCACATCCAGGCAAGAAACAACACAAGGCCATCAATGGTGTACTCGTCTCCATGTCATGACATGCCGCAAACAACCATAGCACCACGAGATGCCATTATGCCATCACACCATTACCATCAACACACAAAAAAGCACCATGCCCTTATGCCTCTATGCCCCCCTGCCCCCATGCTCCATGCCCCCACACCCCCATGCCCCCATGCGCCCATGCCCTCATGCCCCGATGCCTCCATGCCCCGATGCCCCGATGTGCTCCTCCCCATGGCTGGCAGCAGCACTCACGTCGGACAGCTCCACCTCGCGGCCCTGCAGGTGCGCCAGCTTGCGCTCGTGGGGGTCCACAAAGGCCTGCCAGCGGGAACAGCAGGGGGCAGCAGGGGGCAGCAGGGGGCAGCAGATGGAAGCAGGGGGGAGCAGCAGGAAGCAGAGTGCAGCAGCGGAGTGGGATAGTGGTTGAGAGGGGGGAGGCAGCAGGTGAATGGAATGGTACATGAGTAGGGAATAAGGGGGGCCATGACGTTGTGCATGCACAAGCCCTCCGAAGCACAGGCAGACTCTCAATCACCACACGCCGGGCATACCCCGGTCTAGTGGGCTCCGAATGCAAGTGATGAGTGAGCATGGCCATACCACAGCCCAACCAAAAGTCAAGTTACAAGAGGCATGTGTGCATGAGCGTGTACAAGAGTCATGTATCTAGTGGTCTAGTGTGCACGCATCCCATCCCATCCCATCCCATCCCATCCCATCCCATCCCATCCCATCCCATCCCATCCCATCCCATGTAGCAGGCGGCACGCACAGCAGTCTTGGTGGGGTCCCATAGAAAGTGGCAGGTGAACATGGGCGGCTCAAAGCCCTCCACCACTCGAATGATGGTCACCTCCTTGGACCGCCCCTCACTGCCCGCCACTTGCTCTACGTACCGCTGCAGGAGGGGCAGGGGGAGAGTGCGAGGGGAGCAGAAGGGATGCATGAGAGGGATTAGCTTGAGTGCTGCTTTAACATGCCCTCGCTCCCCTGTGACAGCATACAGCTCACAGCTCACGGCACAGAAAACGTAGCACGCAGCAAGCAGCACACACCTCACAGCATAGCACACAAACCTCACAGCATAGCACACACACCGTACAGAACTGGCACGCACCTGCGCGTACTCAAAGGCGTCCTTCTTGTCCTTGTCGGGCAGGTTGACGCCCACCCACACAAACACCTCGCTGTGCGTATCCAGCAGCATCACGTCCTCGCTGATCAAATCCTCCTGCTCGTAGTTCGGTACCTCCACCACCTGCACTCGCCCCCGGAGGGAGGGATGGGAAGGGGAGGGGAAGGAAGGGAAGGAACGGGGAGGGAGAAGGCATATCACATGCACAAGTGCATGTACGAGTGCATGTGCATGCGAGTGTGTGTGTGGCAGCATGACGTCCTCACTGATCAGATTCTCCTGCTCGTAGCCAGGCACCTCCACCACCTGCCGGGGCCCCACTCATGCCATGACCACAGTGGTGAAGGGAAGGAAAAGGAGTAGAGGCGAGGGGAGGGGAGGGAAGGGAGGGGAGGGAAGGGGAGGGGAGATAAAAGGCTGATCACATGTACTATTATTGCACACACATGTGCACATGTATGCATGCATGCGATTTAAGGTTGAAGATGGGGGCTAGAAGGGGACTTGCAGACAGACTCAAAGCCCACGTGGCTACTTGTGAAAGAAAGATGGAAGCGAAAGAGGAGCTTACCTTGGCAGCGGCTGTAGCCGTGACGTGACGAGAAGTGTTGATGCCATGTTGCATATGGCACATGGAATACACACGACACAAGGAATACACATGGCACAAGGAATACACACGGCACAAGGTACATGGTACATAGGACACACACGCACGTGGCACATTGCACATTCACACACACAAAAGTACACACATGGAAGGGGGGAGGGGTTTGGGTGGGTGGGAAACAAAGATGCATGCGGAATTTGGAAGGAGTACTGGATGAAAGCCAGGACGAGAGAAGGAAACGAATTTTGAGGTGCCTCAAAATTCGGAAGGTTTATTGGATGAAAGCCAGGAAGAGAGAAGGAAGGAGAGGAGGAAGGAGAGGAAAGCAGAGAGGAGGGAATAGGTATGAGGGAGGCAACAAGGGATGAGAGAAGTAAGGCGAGAAGCGGGGGATGGGAAAGGAGAAGGGAGGAGAGAGGAGGGAGATGAGAGGGGTGCAAGGGTGGAGGGGAGGGGAGGCCAAGCAGTTGGAGAGGATGGAGTCTTCCCAATGATCCGGCTTCAGTTCGCACTCTCGGTCCTCTTCCCCATCTTCCATGTTGGCCATTCTCCCTTCATGCATCCCCCTCTCACTGTGATCAACACTCTCAACCCCAGAACCTGCACCAGCTCCCAACCGTGCAGGTTTCCCACCCTTCCCTTTCTCTCCACGCCAGACTCGCCTGCGGCGCCTCGATATTCTACGCGCAAAACCTCGCTATAGTTACGCGGACCGCCTCGCTAGAGTCACGCGGACCGCCTCGCTAGAGTCACCTGCAGTGCCGGTGTAGTGGAAGAGGCGCGCGTCCCGCTGTGCCTCCCTCTGCTCGCGCTGAGCGGGATAGTCCCCCTTGGCACCCAGATGCCCCCAGAACACCGACGTCTCCTTCCCCTCCGCCAGCTGCTTCAGTGCCACCCCGGGCTGTGCGGGGCATAGGGGGAAGAGGGTATGAGGGGAGGAGGGATGACGAAGGGCGCCGGGAAGGCTGGGGCAGGAAAGAATGATCCAGCGGGAGTGGCTGACTTGTTGGATTTGTCAGTGTAGCGAGGACGCCCACCCCGTATCACCATGCCTTCGCAAATCCCAGGCGGCAATGGAGTAGTGGCAGACGCATGTGGGAAGGTGGTGCACCAAGTGAATTCCTCAGGAACAAGCAGACTTTCAAAGGCAGAGCCACCTTCACAGGATGGTGACACCTTCACGCGCATGGCAGCACCTTCACACACACGGGTCTACTTTCCCAGGCATGGCATGGCATGGCAGGTGTACCTTGAAGATTTCAGCAGTGGTGGTGGCGGCGGCCTTGTCGGCCTCAGTGCTGTTCTTGCCCACCCACAGGAATGGGTTGGCGGGTGTCTGCAGCAGCATGCACTCCGATGAGTTGAGCGACCTCGGCACCTGCCATGCGTGGCGTGGTGGGGTGTGGGCGTGGTGAAACATGGAAACACACGTGCAGGCACACACAGGTGGAAAAGCATGCATGGTGATTCGTGCGCACACACACCCGCACACATGCTCACAGGCACACACACACACACACACATACATGGACATGGGGGCACACACACATACACATCACACATCAATGGAGTTGCAAAGTCAATAAGATTTCCACTCAGATTTATCCTCCAGAATAGACACCAAGCAGACAAACAAAGAGATAAACCATTAGTAAGGGTCAGAAACGACGTCTGAACTCGTGGTCACTAATATGATTAATATGATGTACCATGTTAGCTTTGACCATGAGTTCAGAAACGACACAACCCCCACACATGGTGGTAGAAAGGCCTGAAGTCAGTGCAAGAGCAGGTGGAAGAGCAGGTGGAAGAGCAGGTGGAAGAGCAGGTTGGAGCAGCGTGTGGAGCGCAGTGAGAGTGCTCGACCCCCCCTGCTTGCCCTCGTGCTCTCACCGTGTCCATTTGAACGGCCAGGATGAGCCCGTTGTCGCGCGCCCGCACTCGGAAGAGAGCGATGCCCGCTGCGTCATACGCCTCTGCTGCCTTGCCCTGCCGTGCACGGGGTGGGGGGAGAGGGGAGACAACCCCAGGGATGGGGCGAGAGGGGTGCGGGTGTGGGGAGAGAGGAGCGAAAGGGGGGGGGGGGGGGAGGGGGAGGGTGGAGAGGGGGAGAGGAAACGAGGATGGGGTAAGTGGAAGGAGAGGCAATGTGCCGTGACATGGAGAGGGTGAGGGACGGAGGTGGTGAGAGAAAAGAAGGATGAGAGAGAAGGGTGATTGATAACAAGGCAACACTCAGCAGCAAAGACATGAGGATACGAGTAAATGAGTGAGGCCGCGTGCCAACACACCGCAAGCCGACACACAGAGCGCCGGGAGGCATGGGGAGAGAAAGGAAAGGAAGGGAAGCGCACCTTGAGGAAGAGCAGCGCACCTTGAGGAAGAGCAGCGCACCTTGAGGAAGAGCAGGTGGTTCTTGAAGAGCGAGAGGAACTGCTCTGGCTCCCTGCCCTGCACCACCCGCACCTGCGCCACACAGAGGACCGGGCAGAGGGTGGGGTGTAGAGTGGGGAGTAGGGTGGGGCATAGGGGAGAGAGGAAAAGAAAGAGGGGGCCCGCTGACAAAAGCAATTGTTGGTGCATGCAGAGCCCACAGTGCGGCGGGGATGATTGTACTGTGAGACTGGGCACTGTGACAGTTGACGGACAGGGCCAAGCACGGCGTGCAGCATGAGGGAGCGGGGCGGGCAGGGGCGCTCACCAGAGTGACGTTGCCTCTGAGCCCATCCATGGTCCGCACCGCCAGCGCCGTGGCTGCTGTGCGATCTGCCTGGTGGGGGGAAGGGAGTGGGTGGAGAGATTGGGGGGAGAGAGTGGGGGGGGAGGGCAAGGGGGGGGGGAGGAGTGAGGGAGGAGTGGGAGGGGGAGAGTGAGGGGAGAGTGAGGGGAGAGCAATGGGGGGAGAGAGTGCGATGGTAGCAGAGGGAGAAGACAGACGGTGTGAACGTGAAGCGATGGGGGTAATTGGGGTGGTGACTAATGACCGATAGTTGGCCCTGCTGCGTGGTTTGGCTCAGACAAGAGCAAATGCTCGTGACCGGCATGCAGAGCACACGCAGGGCGCAGCAGGCAGACTGCGAGCAAGGGGCGATGGTGGAAGTGCAGTGCACCAAGGGCCTGGCCCTGGCGACAGGTCTTATCTCCATGCTCCCCAATGGGGAGGGCGGTGAAAGGCGAGCAGAGCAGAGCAGGGGTGCTTACAGCGGAGGTGTCCTTGCCCATCCAGAGGAAGAGCAGGTACTCGTGCTTGCGGTCGCGGATGGACGTGTGCTGCACCAGGTAGCTCTCCCCCGCGTGAAACTTGCCCACCTCCTCCGCCGCCACCGCCACCTTGGTGCTCCCCGCCACCCGCCACGCCTGTTGGTGCAGGCCCGGAGGCAGGGCGGAGAGGACGAGGGGAGGCGGGAGGACGGGAGGAGAGGAGGAGAGGAAGGGGAGGCGGGGAGGCGAGCGGAAGGGAGAAGGGGACGAGGGGAGTATGTGAGGCGGGGAGGAAGGGAAGCCGGGAGGTGGGGAGAAGGGAAGAAGGGGAGGAGGGGGGGCGTGGAGGAGGAGAGGTGGGGAAGAGGGAAGGAGAGGAGGACAGTAAAAGGGGAGGAGAAGAGGGGAAAAAAGGAGGCGATGGAGGGAGGAGGGGCGCAAGGTAATAAGTGGGGGAGTGAGGACAGAGGGGAGGAAAAAGGGGGGGGGGGTGAGGCTAGGAGAATAGGGGAGAAGGGGGGAAAACACAGTGGGAGAGAACGAGGTAGGGGAGGAAGAATATGGTTGCAAGGGGAGATGGGAGTGGAAATGAGAAGGGGTGGGAAGTGGAAGGGGAGGAGAGAATGGGGGGAAGGGTGGAAGACCAGCAGTTCTACTTGAGCAGCAACGGGAGAAGCGGCAATGGTGTTGTGGCGCATGCAGCACAATGCAGCACAATGCAACACAATGCAGCACAATGCAGCACAATGCATCCCCCCAACACCCCCCCTCCACCCCCCCCCCCCTCTCCCCCTCTCGCCCCCAATGTGCTAAACCCCTTCTCGCCCACACCTTGAGGTCGCCTGGCGTCTCTGCCAGTGGCGGGTGCTCGTCACTGCCGCCTGCTGCACCCTTGGGGGCCGCCTTGTCCACCACACCGCTCTGCTTCAGCATTGCTGCAAGGGGGGCCCGGGCGGAGGGTGGGCGTGAGGAAGGTGATGTGGGGGGAATGGAGGAAGAAGGGTAAGGGAACCCATCCACTATCCCCATACTGCACTCGCCACCACCCTGCCACCCCTCACTTCACTCTATCAGCCATGTCACCCTGTCTAGCCTTCAGCCCATTCCCCCCACCCATCCCCCCACCCACAACCGCGCTTACCCTCCCTGGCACATTCCATACCTCTGCCTGCCCGTCTCTTCTCATTCCCTTCATCTAATTCTCCAACGGCACGCCACTCTCTCCCTACGTCCCCTTCCCACCAGCATACCCGCCCCTCTCGCCCAACCCTAGCCGCCCCTCTCGCCCAACCCTAGCCGCCCCTCTCGCCCAACCCTAGCCGCCCCTCTCGCCCAACCCTAGCCGCCCCTCTCGCCCAACCCTAGCCGCCCCTCTCGCCCAATCCACACTTGCCTTGCCCCTCTCGCTCTCAACCCAAGCCCCTACCTTTGAGCTTGTTGCCGCCCTCCCCGCCGCCCAGCACGGGCACGACGGGCCAATCGGAGAAGCAGGCTTTGAAGGCGGGCAGCTCGAAGCGCTCTGGCATGCGCACCACACGCACAGAGGGGGGCTTCTTGCCCACCACCAGCTGCGTCTGATGGGCGCCCGCATGGAGAGGGGGGGTGGGGGTGGGGGAGTTGGGGCGAGGAGATGGCATGAGAGGAGGAGACGAAGGGGAAGTTGGAATTAGGAAGGGAAAAGTGGGGAGAGAGAGGTGGGGAGATGGGAGGTAGGAGGGATGGGGGTTTGTGGAGCAGCAGTGGGAGTTTCGATTCAAAGTATGATCCAGCGTTGGGCTTCAGCAGGGAGGGTGCGGGATGAGTTGCTGTTTTGATCGCACACACACATGCATGCAAACACGCACGCACACGCACTCAATCGCTTGCTCATTCTCTTTCTTCCCTCTCCCTGGCTTCATACCCCTACCCTCCCTTCAGCTTTCCCCACCCTCCACTCTCTACTCTGTCCTTGACCTTCTATACCCCGCCCTCCCACTGCTATCCCTGTCCTCCCACTGTTTCCGTCCTCCCCGCTGTCCCCCGTCCTCCCCTCTTGGCCTCTCTCCCCTCCCCCTCCCTCGCCCTCCCTGCCCCTCCCTACCCCTCCCTGCCCCTCCTGGCCCTCCCCCTCTCCCCCTCTCCCCTTCCATGCCTCTCCATCCCCTCACCCTCTCCCCTCCCCCCACCTCCCCCTCACTCCCACCGCACACGGGCGCGCAGGGTCAGGGGGCGGACCTCAGCGGCGATGCAGGCGGCGCGGCGCTCGTCGAGGGAGGAGATGCGGCCGAACCAGACGAAGACGGTGGGGCCCATGTCCACCAGGTAGCACTTGTTGCCCTCCAGCTGCAGCTTCTTCAGCGCCCCCGCTCCCACCTCCTGCAGCCCGTCGCCCGACACCCTGTGCGCGCACAGGGGGAGGGGGAGGGGAGTGGGCGGAGAGGAGTGGGCGGAGAGGAGCGGACGAGGAGGGGGCAAGCAAACAGGTGAGGTGCGCTTTGGCAAGGGGACAGGGTGGGGATTGGCAAGGAGAAGAGGGGGCGAGCGGTGGAATGGAGGGGTTGGGTTGGGGAAACGGGAAGCAGTGAAGAATGTAGAGTGCCTGAAGAAAAGCGCGTAAGGCTGAGGGAATTGTTCTGGACAGGGATCGATGTGGCACAAGTGCAAGCGTGGTGGTGGCATGCAAGGGGCGTGCACGCAGGTACCATGCATAGACGCAGGTGTGCGAGGGGGCAGGGTGGAGAGCACCCCGTGGAGCACAGCAGCGGCGCACAGCACAGCACAGCGAAGCGCAGCGCAGCGGCGCATGGACGAGCGGGGCGATTGCGAGCGCACGTGCTGCCAGTGGCGCGGTGGGCAGTGCAGCATGAGTGCTGCAATGCCCAGCAGCACAGCTGAGACACGGGCGCTCTGACCCGTGGCGGAGGAGGCGGGGCGGGGTTTGAACAGTGGCGGGGAAGGGGAGAGGTGGGCGTGGTGGGGGGGAGGTGGAGCGCACTGACCAGTAGAGCGTGGGCGGCGTGGGCTTGACCTCGACGTCGTCCTCGCCCTGGCTCTTCTTGGCGATGGGCGCGAAGCCCCCAAACATGTCCCAAAACTCGTTCGACTCCGGATCGTCCAGCTTGCCGTCGTCTGGTGGCGCGTGGTGCGGGGGAGAGGGAGAGGGAGAGGGAGAGAGAGAGGGAGAGGAGCGGGAGGGAGAGGGGAGTGGGAGGAAGGGGGTTGAGGATGGGGAGGAGAGGGAGAAAGGAGGTGGAAAAGCGCGGGGGAGAGGACAGGGGAGTGGAGGCGGGGAGAGAAGGGGAGAGGGGAGGGGAGAGGAGGGGATAGGGGAGGTGGGAAGAGGAGGGGAGAAAACGGAGGGAAGGCGAGTGGAGAGAGATGAGAGGCGGAACGGGAGAGACGAGCAGGGGAGGGGAGAGGTGCGACAGGAGGGTAGAGGGGGAGATGAAAGGAGACGACGGATGAGAGACGGAAAGCACGGATGAGAGAGAAGGGTCAGAGGTTAACGGGATGATGGGGACAGAAAGGAATGACATGGTAGGCAAGGGTAACCATTAGTGCACCCTTACGGGTCGCCCTCAGGTGGTCTGTTGCAGTTTGCTTCTCCATTTCTTCCATGTAATAAATCGCGCTTCTGTGTCACACCATTAGTCTGCAATCCGCAAATCGTGTTCAGCCTGACAGTTGAGGGCAGGGCGTGAGGGCGCAGCGTGAGCACTGACCAATGATGGCGATGGGGGCCTTGCCGCCATACACGGAGTCCTGCAGCAGCTGCATGACCTCCATGCCCTTGACGCGCTCCTGCTTGCTGGCGTTGGCGCCCGTGAACTGAAACAGCTTGCTGCGCGTGTCCAGCACGAAGATCTCCGAGTGCGACAGCGACGACCGCGCCATTGCCACCTGCACGCGCGCATGCACGGCGACCAGGGGCGCGGGGCGAAGGGCGGGGGGCGATGGGAGCAGGGCGCAGGGCGGGCGAGGGGCGATGGGTGAAGGTCGAGGGGCGAGTGGCGAGGGTGGAGGGTTGAAAAAGAGGAGGGACGGGGCTTGAGGGTGGGAGGGTATTGCAGAAAGTGGGGATGGACGATCGCATTGGCGTACGAGCTGTGAATACCTCGGTCACTGCCCCTTTGCCTCCTGCCCCTTATCCCTCTTCCCTTCGTACAGTCTGTCCTTTCTGTGCCGCACCTCGCACCTAAGCTGCTGCTGGGACTCCTCGTCTGCACCGGCGCCGCCAGAAGCGGATATGGACGTGCGTCATACACGCAGCGCGAGACTGAACATTTCTCGTGCTCCTCCGCGTGTGGCTTCCAGCCCTCCGCCGAGCCCGCGACCTAGACCAGCCGCAGCGATGGGGATGCGAGCTTGCCAACGGGAGCAGTGCCTCCACTCCGCGTTAATCGCCTCATGCGGACCACACCCCATCAGTCTGACGTGGACCACACCCCACCTGTCTGACGTGGACCACACCCCACCTGTCTGACGTGGACCACACCCCACCTGTCTGACGTGGATGAATCGGCGGCCCTTGACTTGCAGCAGGCGCGGCTGGGACGCCTCGGGGTCGGGGTGGCCCCAGGAGCCGGGCGTGGCGATGATGCAGGGGCGGAAGTAGGAGAGCAGCAGGTCCGACTCGTGCCCCTGTGTCTCGCGGTACTGCGCCGCCTTGCCGCCCAGCGCCGCGTCCAGATCCACCGTCTTTATCGCCGCCATCGCCGCGTCGTCCTGCGTGCGGGGGATGGCGCGCGGGAGAGAGCGGGGGGCCGGGGGGATTCGGGGGAGGGGCGGAAGTGTGGGGGAAGAGGGGAAGGGGAGGACGGTTTTTAGGCAACCGGCGTGGCGTCCAGCTCCACCGGCATTATCGGCGCCATCGCCGCGTCGGATTCGGGAGGAAGGGGAAGTAAGCGGGCGAGAAAAATGCCGCGGGGACGCGTGGGGATACAAGAGTGGCAACGTAAGGCAATGTAGTCTAGGGCGAAAGGGGGTATCGGGTGGTTCGAAAGGCTCCATTCGTGGAGTTGCTCGGGTGGAGTTGCTCGGATCTGACAGTCACGTTCTGTGAAGATTTGGAAAAGCGCTACAGTTCGCGACGAAAGTAATCTGTTGTTCCACGGTAAGCATCACAAGCACGGTATAAGTAGCAGCGAATAAAGAGAATGACGCCCGCATTGCACGACACGAATGGGAGACGAGCTGAGCAAACTCCGGTGGTGCTGAGCGCATGGCCCAAGAAGCCAAACCGCGCCGTCTCTGGTTTATAATAGCGCGCTGTTGAGCGAGTAAGGGGAAGCGAGCAGATTTGCGGTCAAGAGGGTTCCCAAGGCGGCGCAGGCTCACCTGAGTCGTGGACTTTCCCAGCCAGTAGTGAATGGCGTACGTGACCGCGCCGCCGTGCTTCGATCCAGACGTCTGTGCAATGGGAGACGGAAAACATCCAGATGTGATGAATGCGATCACGAGGTGACACGGGAAAGCCGTCTCGCAAGCAATGTTGACAGCTGGAGGCAAATACAAACGAATCAGGCACGTCCTATGTTCGCTCGTTCGTCGTCGATTCACAAAGTTTTCCAGACCCGCGTTCTGTGGCTGTCTGTGCCGTTTCCTGATTACGTTGGTGTTACTGTCTTGAGTTTCGTCTATCATCCGGATCTGTCACCCAGCTCGTCGCACCTTGGGCACAATATACTTGTGAGACGTGTTAAAACTCGCCTCACCTTGAGCACGATATACTTGTGAGACGTGGTAAAACTCGCCGCACCTTGAGCACGATATACTTGTGAGACGTGTTAAAACTCGCCGCACCTTGAGCACGATATACGCGTCCTTGGCGAAGAACTTGCCATGGTCCGCCTTCGGAACCGCTACCACTTGACCTTGATCCAGACGCCACACGTCCAGTCCTCTGCGCCGCCACGCAAACACCAGGCAAGGGTGAGCAATGCTTGCTATGGATGCGATGTATCGCTTCTCTCTTGTTTCTTTCCAAAGAAGTCGTACTGCAATTTAAAGCAATGACATTGTGGTGAAGCTGATAAATTTAGGTCAAGGAAGCTTACGGTTTGTTGCTAAGTCCCTGGAACGCGGGGTCGAGGTCTTTGACGGAGATCGACATGGCAGCTGTTGGCAGGGCACACGTATCTTGCTGCCAGGCAGGCCACAAATGGTAAGTAACTCGCAGCTTGTTGGACAATCTTGGCTAGGCTTCTACCACCAAGTTTCCTAGCCTACTAGCCACAAGTAATTTTTATGAAATGCTTAAAGCCGGCAGCCCAAACTGTTCATCCTTTAAAAAGTTGACGAGAGGGAGCTTTTCTGGTTTGGGGTTGGGCGAGTGTTTCAGATTTCGTCAAATTCGTATTTTTCGCCAAACCCAGCCAGCCCCCGGATCCCCCCCTGGTGGGTGGGGTCACACTTCGAAAGTCCCAAATTGCAGGTGGACTAATTGCAGAAAAGAGAGTTGAGGATGGCAAGGGGGGGGAGGCGGAGAGTGTAGATTGGGACCAGGAGGAGCAAAGCGCTGCACTGCATGGCACAGTACAGTGGTCGGGAAAAAATGACGGTTGTTGGGAGACCGGAGACGATTGGCGTTGGTTCTTTCCTTGCTTGCGCCACACCAACACGCTCTCTGTGCTCGCTGCCCGTCCACGAACCAGCCAACCAGACGCAAGAGTGGCGCAAGTTAGGGGACAATGTGAGGCTGCCCGCATGAAAGCACCAAACCACCCTTGATGACCAACCAGGGCAAGAAGTTTTCCAGTTTGATGCATGGCGCGCTGCGGAGGGAAGGGGCAGAGCTTGGGCGGGATATGCAGGGTGCTCTCTGACACGGTGGGTGTGGGATGGTGAGGTGGAAGGAACTCACAGATGGTTCTACAAATGAAACTGGGATGCCCACGAATCAGAAGCCGCAAATAATCTAACCACCTGTTACAAAGTGGATTATTATACCTTGTTACGGGTGCAATGGAACGAGATAGCAAGGATTGCACTATGTGGTGTGGGCTGTAAGGAAAAATCCTTTTCCTTACTTTGCGTCCCTGCTCAGCGCGTACATCACTGTTCCCGCCAACAACTCTCAACAGTGAACTGTTACCACTTGCGACACTCGCCTCGACCACTGTTCCCGCCACTGTTCACGACGCGACCCAACCTTACGGTTCGGTTGGTAACCCGCGCTCCGTACCTCCACCTCGACAACTCCCAGCCTCGGCGCTAGGCCCGTAGCGCACCCCATTTTCAAACATTACCGTTACCACCCTAGCTTCGCTATATATTATTCGCTCATGCCTTCGCTCGATAGGGTTTTGCTTCGATAGTGCAATTCTCGCTCGCTCCCTCAATTACACTTGTAACACTTGGTATTCAGAGCATACGATCTCTTCTTGGACCGCACCCACACCTTCGCTTCTGCGGAGATTCACTCGACAAGATAGTGAGCTAGATTATTGGGGGGGGGGGGGGGTGGCACGAACTACTAGGAGTGATCGTAGCTTTGCTTAGTTCCTTAGCACTTGCACATTCACGGGAGAAATCGGCAAGAGTTTCACTAGGCAAAGATTGCATTCCAGAATGATTCAACAAGCAATGACAGAAATGACTACATCAGGCACCTAGCAACTCTGCAGCTAGCCTGGTCCACCGCCAGCACAGCTTGGCCGACCGCCTGCCAATGTTGCATAGAGGAGCCGCGCCAGCACTGCAGAAAGCGACCTGCCAACATAGCAGGTCGACGACGTGCCAACACTGCAGCAGAGCAGCTGTCCACCGTTGCCCCGTTGATGACAGTAGTGCGCATGCTCGCAGGTGCGTGCAGACGATTGGCCCGACTTGCCTCGCTGTACATCCGTCGGCTGTTGTCTGTGCCTGACGAGCCACATCGACTTCGGGATACCAGCCCGAAGTCACCTTCATCTCCGCTACCTCGACGACGTTCGCGTGCCTTCGCAGAACTCGTCGAGAAGGTTACCTGGTCGACTTGGTCGACCACCAAGTGCTCTCTGGTCGACCACCAGGTGCCTCTGGTCGACCACCAGGTGCCTCTGGTCGACCACCAGGTGTCTCTAGTCGACCACAGCTCCCGTCGAGCCACCCCCTGGTCGACGGACCCCTCCGTCGACCAGAACTGTCAGCTGTTGTCGCCGAGCTTCCCTCGTCGATCGCTGCTCACATGTCAGGTCGACGAAGTGCTCCGTCGACCTCCCCGTCGACCAGCCCAGTCAGCTGCAACCGTCGAGCACCCCTGGTCGACGACAACACCACAATGATCCCTGCAACTCGACGAAGCCCGTTGAGCAGCTCCCTCACTGTGAACGGTCGGCTGCTTCTCCCATACATCCGACCAAGTCGTCGGCGTTGCCCAAGCGAGGGTGGGGCCAACACTCCACTCCCGTTAACACTCCCCTGCCGCGCTCACGCTTGGGCCCCCAGCCCACACGGCAGTACTCTACGGAGAAAAACTCGTCCTCAACGTGACCCCACACACATCACGCCGTCACCGCACCAGCCGTGCAAAAGGGCATAGCACCTACAGCTCCACATCATCGTCGCCGTCGCCGACATCGGCCAGTCGAACTTGGCCGATGGCGACAGAGCACCGGTTGAAAGCCGGAATATGCAGCGCCTTCGTCAGGAAGTCAGCCGGCTGTTCGGTGGTCGGAATGTACTTCAGCATGAACTTCCTGCGCCTCACCATGTGCTGCAGCCAAGCGTAGCGTCGCTCCATTTGCTTGAGGTTGCCCATCAGCCCCAAGCCCTCAGCGACCGTGATTGCCGACTTGTTGTCCACGCGGAGGATGGTCGGCTTTACAGCGTCGAGCAGCTTGAATTCTGCAAGGAGGAAGCGAAGTCGACGCCCCTCCTTGGCCGAGACGTACTCCGACTTGGTCGAGGAGAGCGTCGCGCACTTGATGCGCTGGCTCGAGCAGGAGACCGCGGCCCCTCGGAAGACGAACACGTAGCCACCCGTGCTCGTCCGGTTTTGCTTGTCGCCCGCGTCGTCGGCGTCCACGTAGCCGATCAGCTCCAGCGATTCTGGTCCACCGTCGAACTCCAGGGCGGTGTCGCGGGTGTCGGCGAGGTAGGTGAGGCAACGGTCGACCTCACGCCAATGCTGGTCGCTCCTCACTGTGAGGCCGCTGCCCAGCTTGCTGCAGGCGAACGCGATGTCCGGCCTCGTCGTCGTCGCCGCGAACTGCAGCGAGCCAACATCCTGGGACATTCTGTTCGTGGACCACGCCTCACGTTACACCTAGGGGAAGACGTTGAAGCTGAAGAGCGACGCGCTTGCTGCCTTCAAGGAATGGCTTCCCGAAGTTGAACGCCAAACCGGGATGACGCTGAAGGTGTTGCGGTCGGACCGGAGAGGGGAGTTTATGACGAATGAATTTCTGTTGCTTCTGAAGCAACGAGGAATCTTGCGTCAACTTTCCTGCCCCTCGATCCCCCAGCAGAATGGTGTGGCTGAATGTTGCAACCGTACGGTAACCGAGGGCATGCGTGTGATGTTGGGGCACATGGGGGTGAAAGCACACTGGTGGCACTTAGCTTTCCAGCAGTTCTTGTGGGTGGTAAACCTTGTGCACCAGTCCACCCTGCCCCATGATGTGACCCCTCATTTGGTGGTATTCAAAGTCAAGGCCGATGTGTCCATGGTCCGTGTGTTTGGGTGCATGGTGCAATACCTCATTCCTGAGCATGAGCGTGAGGGGAAGCTT